ATATATACACACATATACATATATACACACATATACATATATACACACATATACATATATACACACATATACATATATACACACATATACACATATACACATATACATACATATACACATATACACGTACACACATACATACATATATATACATACACATACACACACACACCATTCAAAAAGGGATAAAAAGAAAACAATTTAACATATTTTCAAGTAATTCTTAAAGTTCCTTATGTCCTATGCATCTGTTATAACAGTAGTTCCTAGAGTAAAATACATGGCATTCATATGTAGGTCTGAATCTAGATCCGCGCTCAGGAAGAAACTTCATCCAAAAGATGGAATAACAAGGAAAGCAATCTTTAGTTATTTATTTTTTTTTTTTTTTACTAATCAACTTTAGGCCCAATTAGGAGCTTTGAGATGTTCGGACTGTATTGAGTGCTCGTCTGACGTTACAGTGCATGCAGGGCTGGGAGCACAATCGAAAAGGAATGCTTTGCACCTATTCCTGCAGAGAAATGGAGAAGTAAGTGACAACGAAGTGTATGGCCTCTATCGGAGGGAGGACAGTATCGTGCAAACAGACTATGAGATGAAAAAAAGATGTAGGATCAGACTGAAGCCAACCCCACAATCCTGACCGACAGCATGAATCTGAATCACAGGTTAAGAGACCACTAACTCAATCATCCTGTGACTCTGCCCTGCATTATGCTGGCGAAGGAATGACATTAAAGAGAAGCGGCGCAAGAGTGTCATGTTGTGTAGCCTGCACAGTCACTCACTGAGGCTGAAAGTCACTTCTGTGTGCAACCATCAGTTTACACTTCTAACACCATCATATCACTTCGACCAGCATAATTGGGCAAAGGTTGATTCCAGGTAGCAATGATTGCTCTGCCTTGGTCTCGGGTCCATGCCACTTATGTATGTCATTGTATATCATGGTGGTGGAAAAAAAAAAACCTTAACACACACACAGAGAGAGAGAGAGAGAGAGAGAGAGAGAGAGAGAGAGAGAGAGAGACTTGACCCTCATTGTGTCCATGGAAGATCTGGAAGAAGAAAACCGCAAGACGTAATGGCCCTCAAACCAGTAAATAAGTCTAGTTCAGAAGGCTTTCTTCTCCAGCTGGTCCAGAATGGCCTGGATCCTCTGTACGGCCTCCTTTCGGGCTTGCCGGACATTCTCCTGTCCCTGAGTCTCCACAGAGTCCAGCACCAGCAGCTCTTTGGTCAGCAGTTCCTCCAGACACCGATAACTCTTGTCTGACTTTTTGCCAACAAACTCATCAACATCCTCGTGAAGCAGTAGCATTCTGGCCATGACCTGTTGGACCTTAGCTAGGCCGTGGCTATCGCTCAGGGGATGAGGTCCAGCATGGCCTGGCGCTGGAGCCCGGGCGGGGGCCGAGGGCGGGGGCTCACCTTGCGAAGGATTAGGCTCGCCTCTCCCGGTTTTGTTGTACATTTGGGGAGGTGAACTTATTTCAGCAGGCTTTCCATTGGGGGGATTTAGGGATGGGGTTGGCCGGGGTTTAGGTCCCACTTGTGGAGCACGTTGCTCCTACAGCAACATAAAACAAAAGATTAAGATATTTCATAATCCTCAAGCTCAATACCATACAAACACACCATTGTATCGCATTGACTTAATCAAATAATCTATGACTATACTGTGGCAAAACATGACATTTTGGTTTCTGAGATCTAATTCTCTAAATGTGGTTTCATTGAGTCACATCAGTGTATTGCAGTTCTACTAAATGTCTGAGCATTAAAAAAACGTAATTCCCAAATATAATTAATTTTCCTAATATCTGTAAGATAATAAAATTCAGATCAAGACATGTGTGACGATCCAGTTTTGAGTGAATCAACTCCTGAGAGAATACTAATTTGAGTGTTTTATTCCGGTCTTATATCGGCCTCTCTTTCCATTTGCATCATAAAAAAAAAAAAATAAATCATAAAAACCACGTTGAGAAACAGTGGATGCCGACTCATACCTTGGGTTGGTACGGTGGAGGAGCACCACTTCCAGTCCCGGGCCATGCTGGAGGATGCGATGGACGGACAGGATTTCCGTAGTGGTTTTGTGGCTGGCCTGTTGGCCATTGCTGCTGTGGGGGGGCATACGCACCAGAGTGCGCCCAACCATCTGCCTGAGGGTTTGGGTGAAGAGCCTGGCCGGTGGGGTATGGGGGGTTTGAAGGCATAGCGTGACCACCTTCACTGTAGTGAGGGTACGCCCCAGGAGGATATCCAGGACCCTGGGGAGTAGAGGCAAGACAGATATATGTAGTATTTCCAAAAGTACCTTCTTTCTTTTGTGTGTGAAAGTAATTTTGGCTCAGAGAAAGTGTTTTATTACTTCTATCACTTTGTATGTTTGTGTAAGTCACAGTCAAAGACAACCAATAGTCATGTTATATTTGGCAAATCCAACATTTGACATAAGTGTGTGTTTAAATGAACTCACCCCTTGACAGTGTGGACCAGGATAGTGATGGTGCTGGTGTTGAGAGTGTGGCTGTCCAGAAGGCCCGCTGCTCTGCTCCGCAGGACAGCCCTGGTTAGGATAAGGACCCGGGGCCGGTCTCTGACTGTCGGCACAGTAGAAAGGGTTGGACGGGTGGAAACCACTTGTTGGATATGGACTCTGCGCTGGGCTGTAGACACCATGGCCATTTGGATAACCTGCAGGCATTACCTACATGGAAAGCACAAGCGGGTCTGAATTATCAGACATACCATTGTCTGGGTGTAAATGTATCATGCTGATGTTACTGTTCCGGCATGACAGCCGACCGTTGGGACAAGGTGAGGGAAAGGTGAAAGCACTTAAGAGACTTAAGGACAACTAGAAAATGCATTTCCTGCTGAAAATGCGTTGAAAGCTGAAATTAATTGTCAAAAAATTGCTGAAAATTAAGAAATGGGAGACTACCCGTCTGAAAAATGTTGAAGCTTGAAAGCATTTAAACTGCACTGCTGAAAACCCTTGTAGTTGAAATGTCTCACTATGGTGTCTGTAGCTGAAAGTATGAAGAAGAAGAAGGCTTTGAAATTTGAAGTTTAACAGGATTTGAAGATTTTCTCCATAGAGATCCCATTCAAAAGAAAATTGCAAAAAGCTTAATTCAAAAAGTTGAAAGATTACAAATATGAAGTCATATCACCCTCTCCTGAAAGAGCTGAACATTTTGATATTCGAACGGTTTCTGTAGCTTAAGAAAATTTCAGAGGTAGTGATATTTGTTGTAGTAGTAGTAGTAGAAGTTGTAGTAGAAGTATTATTAGCAGTAGAAGTATTAGTAGCATTTGAATAAGTACTAGTTGTAGCAGTAGTGATATTTGTAGTAGCAGTAGAAGTTGTAGTCGAAGTATTAGTAATTAGAAGAAGTAGTAGTATCAGTAGTCATAGTAATAGCTGTAGTCGTGGTCGTAGTATTTAATATAACAGTAGCAGTAGTAGTAGAAGTAGTAGCAGTCGTAGTAGTACTAGTAGCAGTCGTACTAATAGCTGTAGTAGTATTAGGACTGGTAGTAGCAGGAATAGCAGTAGTAGCAGTTGTGGTATAAGTAATAATAGTAGTGGTAGTAATATCAGTTGTGGTAGTAATAATATCCAATCTTTCTCATTTGGAGATTGTCCTATGTTTTATCATTTACAGCTTACATGACTGTTGTCCTGCTCTGCCATGTCTTTCCTCGTGTCTCCATATTGTGTCACGGTGTGTGTAAATGTCACTCGAATCAGGAAACTTATCAGAATACTCATATTTGATTGGCTGAGCTGCATCACGTATATCTCTAAATCTTTTATTTTAAAAAAATAAAAGATTTTAAAATGGGGGGGGGGGTCCTCTAAAAGTCTCTAAGACCTGAATGACTGTATGAGATACACAGAGAGAGAGAGGAGTGTATGTGTGTCTGTGTTTATCAACATCACTAATTAGCTTAATCAGAAACACATGTGTCCTTGCAGCCTTTTCATGGAGATAAAACAGGGAAACACCTCTCAAACAAATCATCAAAACTCCCATATATTAACTCCTATATTAATAAATGAGAGGAAGGATGACTTGAGAAACAGATCCTGTAAAAATTGTGTCTGTAGTGTAAAAAATGTGGCTTAACTGGCGATTTAGAAATGGGGTACCGTGTTCTGTGGAAGATGTGTTTGAGGCAAACTTTAACATTGGTCTCTATGGAGCAGAAAGTTGGTTTTCCTCAATTACAGGCTTCTGTGCCAAATGTGTAAATCTGTGGGATTCCACAGTAATTTGTCTACGACGAGGACAATATTAGCTACTTCTACATCCAGAAATTATGCATGAAGAGTAAAGATTGTGGACTTAGTGGCAAAAGACAAATGTTTTTTTTCACACAAATCTCAAGCTGCTCTTCACTCTAGCGGTGACATCACGCACTCTAAGCTGCGCAATACACACCCATTATAAAAGCAGAAAAGAAGTGAAAAAAATCATAAAAGTTAAATTGTTACAGTTCAAAAAGTGTAAAAGATATGAAAAAGCTGAATTATGCCGCAATATATCAGGATTTTCTCAACATTTGAAAGTTAAAATGGTGTCTGTAGCTGAAAGTATGAGGAAGTAGAAGGATTTGAAAGTTGAAAAAGTTTAAGAGGATTTGAAAATGTTCTCCATAGACATCCCATTAGAAATATGAAAAGTCATAGCAGACATGGAATGCTTAACAGCATTCCAACAATGAGTGGATCTAGAAGGGCAGGTTATGTTGCATCGCGAGCTCTACCTGTTGATTGTACTGAGGCTGGACCTCTGATCCCGAGGGGTAGGTGTTTGCATAGTGTCCCGTGGAATGAGACTGGGGATACCAGTAGTGTGAGGGGTAGCCTGGATACTGAGGAGCGTCCTGTGAACACAGAAGACCACACAGGATTGTTATTTTAAGAGAACATCTCTGTCCTCGAGTTGCAGGAGTACTGTTTAAACAAGCCAACAGGAATCTGTAAACCACATGCAGCAACCGGCTAAAGGGTGACAACAATGAATTCACTGCATGCTGAACCCGTTTAGCACAAAAAAGATAAATACTGTAGAGCTAGCCGAAAACAGGCCGAAACAGGTTGAATATATTTCTCAAAACGTGCACGATGTGACACGACTGCAGTAACCTCTAACGTTACCATCAGCAGTGTCGTCACGTCCAGATAAACGAGACAAAGTCGGGCGACAGCTGAACAAGTAGTGTAAGCACTAACTATTACATAATGTCAGCTAGCTCCGTTAGCCGTCCAGCTAGCATGGGCTAGTACCCCGTAACGCCAGCTACCTGGGTAACAATGTTTTCCGTGCAAAGCCAGGTCGTTTTAAGATAACTACGCACGCTCAAACAGCGGCAGAGTCGCAGCGGACAACGGCTGTGGATTTGTCTCAGTGGTGTCCACCACTTACCATGGTGTTATTCCAATTTCCGTTCGTATTTTCCGAGTTGCCAGCCGAGGGCCAGCCGGATTTCTGCATTTGATGAGGGTGCATCAAGCTAAGCGCGTTCCGCGGTAGCCGTCCTGTTAACTGCCATCGTAAAAGACAAACCGTTAACTTAAAACTAACGTTGACGTATCCGAGCCGTCGGGTTAGTCCAAACTGTAAACAACAATACTGCCGTTTCCCCAGAAGTGGCGATTGTCTGAATGGAATCAGGAAATGATGGAATGGCACCAAAGCTTGTGCGATCCTGTCCTGTAGCTTTAACGAAGGGCACGCGCAAAAGTGAAGAGCTCTCACTCTGCTGCTGCTTTACGACACCACGAACCTCTTTACGGAGAGAGGGACGTTTTACTCATGCTGCATACAGATGTGAGATCATGCAGAAGGTCCACCGTCTACTTGTGTTATGATGTAAGATCAAATTTAATTTTAATAATTGTATGGCTACACAAGCGAAAGTGTTGCATTGTTCCGAATCTGTCACTGTCGATCGTATACGATCTTTGGTGTAACCCGTGCGTCAGTTGACGCTATTAGCCAATAGGAAACACGTTATTAAATATCCTATTATTTTTTTATATAAACTACTATTTTAATTTTCAGAAACGATCTGTCTTTGGTGTTACATTTATTTAAATATGTTTTATTTAAGCACCGGTCCTAAAAATATATTGAATTCACATGTATTTGGGTTGCAGCGCCCAAAGGGTTAAGCGACTACAGGAAGTTTATCCCGGGCGTGTATAAAGACGCTTCCTGTACTCCACTTGAAAGACACATATTTTGAAACATTCATGGCTTGACGTTACATTAAGATACACGAAGCAAGTAAAACAAGAAACAGCCCAAGATGAACTACGTACCAGGGACAGCAAGTCTCATAGACGACATCGACAGTAAGTCTGAGGATCCGCTCCTTCGTAGAGAGACATGGTTTGCTGAAAAGAATCGTTTAAAGATGTGGCATCGTGTCTGATACCAACTGGATCCTTCGTGACCGTTCAATGTTGTAATTAAACATGCTTATGTTGGTTGTGTCTTGCAGAGAAGCACCTGGTGTTGCTCCGAGATGGCAGAACACTGATCGGTTACCTGAGAAGCATTGATCAGTTTGGTATACCTCGTTTAATTATCTCCCACTTGTTTTTACTCACAGGGTGCAAAACACAAGCCGAAGCATTTCAGCTGATTGCACAGAGGCTCAATTTAAATGCCCATGCGATTCCCACTATCTGGTGTTTTTATTTAACATTTTAAATGTTATTCTTTCTTTATTATCCTGCACTTTATTTCCTTAACCTGTTTCTTTTGTGTGTCCCCCCCCCCAGCCAATTTAGTTTTTCATCAAACAGTTGAGCGCATCCATGTGGGGAAAAAATTTGGTGACATCCCCAGAGGAATATTCATTGTGAGAGGAGAGAATGTGGTGCTGCTTGGAGAGATAGTAAGTGGGAATATCCTCGTTTTATTTCTCTGTGTGTTTGGTATGTAGCTGAAATGATATGAAGTCTAAGTCAAAACTATGTCATTTACACATAACGTTAAATGTAGAAATGGGTGTTGGAGTGAAGATTCACATAACCATGTGGCCAAGGATCCAAACAAGTTTGAATGGAAACAACAAGGGAACATATGAACCTAGCTTATTAACCCAAAGTAATGTTAATATTTTCATCTTTCTGGGTGGGTTAGTCACTAGGTTACAATCTAAGTGAATGAAACAGCTTGGATGTTTTAATCTGCCCTTTTTTTTTCTTTTTTAGTGTGATAAGATAAGCCTCATTAATTATAACGCAGCTTGTTTTGCAAACAAGGATGCAGATTAAGCTGTGTTGGTACATGGAAAATGGGATGGTGAGATGTGGCTTATGCAGCCTCCTACATGGCCAGTTAAAACTTTGAAAACATATTAATCCATCTGCCATGTTGCTGTATTGTAAAATAACCAAAATAAAAAGCGCCGTAATATATCTGAAACCTACAGAAAAAATGTAACTTGTGCTTAGCCACTTAAACTTCTTATTCAGAACATTAAAGGAAAAGTTTAAGAGACTGAAACATTTATAATATTATATTTTAATCATCATGCATATATGTGAATTTGTGCAGTGACACGTTAAACACGTTACAGGCACATTGCAGTGACCGTATAGGACCGGCCTGAACACAGCTCAAACATGACTCATGAACCCACATTCTGTATCTCCCTCCATAAATATGTGTCATACATTCAGTCAGAAATCTGCATTTTGACAGCAGCACAGCCTCTACAGCAGCTGTACAGCATGAAGCGAGTATAGCAGTTCATGTAATCAACAAACGATAGATGCAAAGAAGTTATGGGCATCATAGTGCATGGTTTTGTAATCACATTTTAATTTTTATCAGACACAAGGCATCCAAACACTATTGTCAGGCTCACTGCTCCACATCTTTTGTGGTGGGAGAGGTTTGCGGTAGCCAGATAATTACACTTTCATTTTGTTATTCATTTATCACTCACTGTTAATCAATTTATGTTTTCATTGCTGGAAAAAAGGGAGTTGTGAGTGGAGATTGAGTCTGCATTCAGGCTGGGTTTGTGGTTGAGTAAAGATGCATTTTCAGATATAGTGTCTCTTTAATATAGTGTCTTTTCAGATGTAGGTCTATCTGGTGAGGGATTGGATGATTATGTTTGGCTAACAGTGGCAACTCCAAATCAGCAGGAACATATTTACATGCAGAATGTTAAAGGTTCCTGTGCTAAGCTTTCATCTGAAGTTGTTATGGGAGGAAAGAGTGAACAGTTTGCTGATGTACAAAATGTGTGCGTTTTGTCACAAGTCTGGTGACCGATGAAATGCTGTCCCTGTCTCTGTAGGATGTGGAAAAGCCCTGCGACACAGTCCTGCAGCAGGTCTCCATTGAAGAGATTCTGGAGGAGCAACGGTTGCAGCAGCAAGCCAAACAGGAGACGGACAAAGTCAAAATGCAGGCCCTGAAGGACAGAGGCCTCGCCATCCCCAAAGCGGATAACTTGGATGAATACTAACCTTGATTCCATGAGCCTCTTTCTCAGTTTGTATCAGACTGATAAGTTTGACTTTGAGGTTTTTTTTTTGTTTTTTTTTGTTCAAGGCTGCATCATGCTGGGCCTGTATACTGTAGTGTACTGTATGAATTTCATTTGGAGAAAAAAAATGTGATGCTCATTTGTTCAGATCCTTACAGCAAAATGAAAGAATTGTGTTTATGTAAGATCACTCTGTCTGCAATTTAGCAATTATTTTACAGCAGCACTTTCTATTTTGTCAGTGATATGTCGAGCCTTTTTATTTGGAGATATGTGGGCCTGCTATTGACAAAAACTACGTGCTATGCTCCAATAAAGAGTTTAGTTTTTCATTATGGAAGGCAAGCTTGGAAAATTGTGTCATATACCATCTGACCATGTTGCCCATTCTGTTTTGTTGAATGTGATGCATTAGTAAGGCATTACGTGCTGAAATACAGTATTTGGGGACGATTGCAGCCAGTTCCCTATTGGTCCTGTGTGATGGCGCCACAATGTGACCATGCAGACCACGTCGCACGCTGCAATGTGACATCCAACCCATACAGTCTATGAATCAAACGTGCGACCCGTGCATTTGTTATGCCTCCAAGGAGAGGGCATAATTGATTAATTCAATGTAGACATGCGTCATATCAGTGCATCAAACTACCGCGTATGTTCTGTTTATAAAGATAAGAGCGCGTCCGGAGAAGTCGATCCTATCTGCCATCATCGGTCAATAACCAGCCTGTTAATCGGTTGGAAGAACAGGGCGAGTTAAGATCGCCCTTTTGCAGTGGTTGAAGCTACGGGCAGATAGGCGCTACTGGGTGTTATGAACTCTTTAAGTCTTTAATTTTTTATATTTTACAGGGAACACCACAGCAGCCTGCATGCACAAAAAAAATAAAGTGTTTCCAGAAAAATGTCAAGGTGTGTGCAGTTAAAACATGAATACCGGTCAACCTTCAAAGTAAAAGTCCTTACAATTACAGGAAGCATTACAGGGGCATACATTAATCAGGAGAGCAAATATTGAACAGTGTAAACATGCAAGGGACACAAAGTGTCTTTATTGCCCTGCCACTGGTAATAACCCATAGGTTACATCATGTAGGCCTACATATACTGCTTTTAGGTGCTGTGGAGATGATGCAAGATATGAGCCTCCCAACTCAAATATAAAATTGTCATACAATATATACGATAATACAGGTTGCATATAGAAACTTTTGGAATCCTATAATTTGGATCCTACTCTCTCAAGTGCTACCAATACGACATGAAGACACAGACTTACTGACCTGAATATGACAAACAAGTGTTGTTGAAATAGAAACTTGCATCCGTATGAACCAATTCAATCATGGCTCATGTCATTGATCTCAGCAGTGTGCAGAGCCACTGTACAAGTAACAGGATAACATTCTTTGACAGGGGCCCCGAAACAACAAGGGGCATTGATGCATAACGCAATGTATCCATCATATTATGTAGTAAATTATGAAGAAGTTCTACCACCAGAGGGTGCCCTTATTCCCACTCAATCTTCACTACTACAGTCATTTGCGGATTTTACTCCCATTTGTGTCATTACAGTAGAGACAACGTGTAGTTAAAACCAAGATGAAGAAGACAACGAGCATGAATTTGGCTTTATAACAAGGATTTCACAGACATGCAGCTATGTCCAGTTATATAATGTGTTACGAAGAACTTCTGCACATGAGGTGTGGCTGGTTAGACCTCTATAGGTTGGTGCTTTCACCCCCTTTTTGCAGCCTTCATCTTCTTGTTCTGGCTATAATGCAACATGGGGCACTACCAGGAAAGAAATACGGGTATATGCTCTTATTGTGCTGACAGTTTTGCTTCACTTCTGGTGGAGTTGTTTCTCTCGCTGGTTTGACGCAGCTGCCACAGAGAAGCCCAACCCATTTTGATCACGCAGCAACAGGGGAGGGGGGGGCGCGCGCTTGATGTCATTTCTGAAGCGCTCAACCAACCGCTGCTGTTGTAATGTAAAGCTAGCAGTGTCCTGGTGAAGCGCTGTTAAGGATCCGGTTCGCATACATTGGTGCCTCCGACTTGAATATTCTCTGTATCGGAGAGATTCCGCAGCCAAATTACGCATGGAATGGTTTTGGGGGGATTGGAGTAGAAATGCAACGCCGCACTTCCAGCCCACAACAAGAACCATGCCCAGCATACATTGCAAGCAAATCTATGACATCCTGTTTTATCCATTATGACTTTGATATGAGTGAAACTTGCTTGGATACTGACGAGGAGTGAAGAAAATATACACTGCATACAAGCTGAAGGACGTTGTTTTCGCTGCAGAAGCTTGTGAACCGAAAAATCTCTGCATTTAGGATTTCTTTTTTTGATGGAGCTGGAGAACATAGTAGCCAACACTGTACTGCTAAAAGCGAGAGAGGGTAAGTTGGCACATAAAAGAGCTGCAATTAGTAAGTAGACCTTTTGCGTGACAGTTTGCGCTTAATATGCAGAAAAAGGTGGGAATCATCGTAATGACGGCAGTAGGTACCCTGTCTGCGGACTGTAGGGCTCAGTACAGCAGCAGGTAAATCCTACAGATGCCACAGAAAAAGCGTCTTACGCAATAAGACACATCTCATTTAAAATAATCCGTCTGGTGATCAATTCTAACCTTAAATCAATCTCATGGATCATTATTTATCCTCACTGATTTTGACAGATTCTATGCGTTTTCCCACATAGGCAAGGGGTGGGGGGGGATCTGCATCCCACATCCGCTTTCTCTTTCTGCAAATGAATGCGCTTTTTCGCAACATTATACATGCTGAGGCACAGAGTGCAGCAGGGAATAACTCTTTGCACAGAGAATAAATGCGTGTCGGGAGGCTGGCATTTGAACGGTGATCTGATGATGTGTCTGGTGTTGAAATCGATGTATGGGGCCTGCACTGAGAGAGTCTGGTTATCAGAAACAGTCCAATGTCTGAGAAGGCCAGATAGTCTGGAATATAAAGGTATATAGTGTTATTACTAGCTGTTTTCCCCGGGGGTCTTCTGGGGGTCCCTAAACCTGTTTTGGGAACAAGTGGGTTAAAGAAAAAAATCCACCAGCATTATACTTCCTTAAGCAAGTATAAATATATGTGTAATACTTGTGTCTTTTCAGAATATTTTATGACATTTTTTACTAGAAATTCTTCTAAATAGGCCTAACTCATTGTTGTGGCACACACATTTACAAGTGCACCCACAAGTTTGGTTTCAGGCAGCATGTGGTTCCATGTGGCAACAGTCTCTGTGCTGTTGCGAGGTGACGCAGGAGAAGCCTGTGCACCTCTGGCAGCTCCTTCTATTTATCCCACATGATGACATACTTGGGAGAAAAAGGGGGCTGGTCTGCAAAGAGGGCAGAGAGAGAGTCATGGGAATTAACAGAGTGATGAAGTGAAACAGGAAGCCGCCATGCTGTCAAAACCCTTAACGAAGGATGCGTTCACCTGCGGGTCGATCTGGACATTTTGTTTTCTGGGGGCGGCGTACGACTGGGCTTGTGAATTTAGCTTCTTGAATTAATAAGAGCAGTTAATGACCCATGGCAGATCTTGCTTGTCCCAGCAACTCCATCGGTGCTCATCCAGACCGTGCCTTGACTGTGTGTGGGAAAGAAAGGGCCTTTTACAAATTCACATTAAGGGCTGAGAAGGTTCTTTGAGTTAAAGCTGAAGCACGACTTTCTCTGCAGCTTGATTACTGGCCCTACAAATGCAGATCAACAGTTGAGTTCAAATGTGTTGCACTGCACACATTAAAACGTGTCACAGGTTGTTGTGAGTGTCCTTTAACTGTGTGACTCATTGGAGGTTTTATCTTACAGGGCCCAGTGCCAAAGAGATCCCGATGTGCTGCTGCTAACTCTCGTGCTACACAGAGGCTCACTTTAGGTTCACATTCTAGCAACAGTGAGGGGATGTGAATGGAGCGAAGAAAGAGTGTTTATTCCTGTTTGTATATGCGAGTGCGTCTTAAGCCAGAGCTGAAGCGAGAGGCTTGCATCCTCTTTCCAAATGCTCCCAAGGCCGAATTTCCACTGCGATCTTTGCCGTGTTTTATGCCAGCGTCCTCACACCTTCCATACCAGTAAAACAGTGTGAGTTGCAGGGAAGCCTAGAAATAAAAGAGTGATTTGATATCCCCAGGCCAGGAGCTGCAAAACAGGCCATGTGCCAACTTCCATCATTCTTTGGCTCTTCTGTGACGGACAGATCTGACGGTACAGATCTGGATTTTGCCTTGTGGACACCTCTCATTGATTAGAGAACTTAGAGATGGGAGATTAAAACCAGCTGGTACTCGTTTAAAACTTTAAGTTCAAAGAGGATTTACAACCAATATGCTATTTCACGTTAATCCCAGAGTGGAAAATATAACTCATATGGATTTCCATAGAAAAAAAAGCAGCTCTCATCATATTGAACCATCTCGTTAAGTGACCGCTCTCTTACATAAAGCCAAATGGTATAATACACTATCAGTTAGATGCAGCCCATAAGCCATTTAATCAAATTGATTGTTACATAACAAACTGAGTGGGCTACTGCCATCCGAGCTCCATCTTCCTGTGGAGCTGCTCTCCGGTCTCTGCGGAAGATACTTTATGGATGATGAGTGAGTATGCAGTGAAATGAAACACCCCGATCTGCTGCCCGGTCATCTGAGTATCATCTGACGGCTGCAATACTGTTACCAAATCTTAAAAAGCTCTGCTGTCTGCATGATCTTTGTCAACTGAGGAAACTGGGGGTCGCAGCAGATCAAAAAGGAAGTTCTGTGACGTTATTCATGGCTCTCTGTTTCAGTGAGCTCTGTTGGAAAATGCCTTTTCAATGAGAGCTGCCGGTTCAACACCAGGGTATATGCTGTAGATTTATGTGTGTTAGCAGATGAGAGTTGTGGGGGTTAATTCCTTTGTTTAAATGTAACCTGAATCCAGCTGCCTTTACAAGAGCAACATCAGTGCAGTAGACCCTGGACTTAAAATGTGCGTGTCTGCCTCCCCATTCACAACTCTTGCTGGCAGCAGTCACAGAATCCAAGCCAGGCGAACAAACGTCATCGGCTGTCGAAGTGAATGAGAGTAAGGGGGGGAAAACTGCATTGCTGCATGCAGATGCCTTTCTTGAATTGCTGTAGCAGAGCCGGGTTATTTATTATTACTAGACTGAATTCCACTCCGATGCCTGCTGGCTTTTGCTTTCGGGCTGTCGTGTTTTTGGAGGTTGTGGTTGCGAGATAAAAAATCACCTCTGTCACATTTGGTGTGTAGTTTAGTACAGGGAAATGCTTCGTACAGTGCAGCCAGTATGTTAAGGATATCGCTGTGGTAAAATCACTTTAGTAGTGAAGGATTAGTTTATTTCCAGGTACTAAAGACATGATGATGATGATGATGATGATGATGTGATGATGGCAAAATGGCAGCTCTTCTCTCCATTTGTTTGACTTTTTTCCCCTTACTCATCATTTTCTTAAACAGATTTAGATAATGTCATCAGACCAAGAACCAGACTAGTTGGTTTTGAAAGACTTTGTTATGACTGTGACCCTTTACAGTGATATATTTATTTGTTTTTGGAGTCTCTTTAATAAATGAAGGACCTTATGTATGCTGTGGATGAAACTCACAGTAGAATTTAGATGTGCAAAAATGAGTCAATCAATTATTTGATCAAAAGTGAATGAATCTGCATCTGCATGGATAATTGTTTAATCGTTTCCATAGTTTTTCATGTAAAATGCCCAAAATGTGTTGGTTGCAGCTTCACGGTGAGGCAATTAGCTGATTTTCTGTTTTATATGATTGTAAACTGAATATATTATTTCAGTTGTGGACTTCCTGTCGGAAAAAAACGAGACAACCGAAGATGTAACCTTGGACTCTGAGAAACTGGGATGGATGTTTTTTTTGCTGTTTTTGACATCTGATAGACTCAGCAATTAATTGAGAAAATAATCAGCACACTATTGGAGTAATTTATCAATAGATCCGTAAAACTTAGTTTCTCCACAAAGAATCACACAAAAGCATCACTTCAAATGTTGTGTTTACTAGATATGTGCTCACAAGTTTCTTGGAAATAAGTCATTCAGCATAAAAAAAGTATTAATTGTCAAAAGAAATTTTAGCCGACTAGGGCCAAACCGATCAATTAGTCGACTTATAATGAAAGTAAAGGTTATTTGCAGCTTTCGTATGATTACATGTCTCAAAAATAGTAATTTAATGGGCCTGTTGCTTATCAAGAAGATCAAACGTAATAGGTAATACCTTGCAATTATCTGACATCGTTCCAGAATTAAGTGTTTTTTAATGAATGTTGGACTAATTTCAGTGCTAAAGTGTAAATGGGGTAATCCATAGAGAAAAGCTGTACGTGATTTGTAACTACATATAGTGGTATCCAATCATTTGGGATCTCCCAAAGTACAATGTTATCATGATTTTTCTTTTCTTCTTTATTTTGTGTGGCCCCATTGCACTCTCAAGAGGATGTTTAGATTAGCCGGGGGTTGTCAACTGATCAGTAACTACAAGTAGCTACAAATGATACAAGATAACATGAGATAAAAGGCATGAGGTATTTGTCTCTACAAGCGATTTGGGTCACAGTGCACAGTGTCTTTGAGCTCCTGCTGCAGGCGGGTGGGGGGTGGGGGAGTTGGGGTGGTGTTGCTCCATCATGCAATGCCACAGCAAGTCGAAGCAACTGGGGGAGCTGCTGTTATTGGTACTGACAGAATTCTAGTGAAATATGCCTGCTTGAATCTGCAGCCATGACTGTCACACACACAACACAGGTATGATCCTTCACCTGTCAGCTAATGGTAATGCCAGTATGAATAATATCCTGTAGACTCTCACATACTTCTCTCCCACTTCCACACAAACAAAAACACTTGCCTGGAGTGCTCCTCCCTCAGGATCTTCCTGAAAGGACGGAGCCATGATATAATGGCGTCAACTTTCCTTTGGTAGAGAGCCTTAATGGAGGGGAGAGTAAGATACACGAGCGGGAAACCAGCTTGTCGTTTCCTCACTTGGTTCTTCTGACGGGAAAGAAGCAAGGCATCGGAAAAGAAAACCTGTAAGAAATGTAGTTACAAATAGCTGCAGGGCTGTTCGTGACTCTCTTATTTATCAGCTCTCTTAGAGGTGATTCATGTTTGATTATAAAAGCGATAGTTTTTTTTATTTTTATGTTTTCACTTCCCGGCATGCATGCTTCAGGAGCACTTAGACATTAAACATTAGAACCAACAGAATGTACTGGCAGTCGGGGTTAGCCTACTGCTAACTGGTAATATTGAGTTAGTGACATCAAAAAATACTAGCGGCGTCGGTTTCTTTGGTCCAGACTGAAATATTCTAATTTAGAATATT